CTACCTCATTGGGTAATTGTGAGGATAAGATAATATCTTTTTTTATTATTATTATTTTTTTATTAAAAAAATTTTTTTAATGTTTATTTATTTCTGAGACAGAGAGAGACAGAGCATGAGTGAGGGAGGGGCAGAGAGAGAGGGAGACACAGAATCCGAAGCAGGCTCCAGGCTCTGAGCTGTCAGCACAGAGCCCGTTATGGGGCTCGAACTCACGAACTGCAAGATCATGACAGGAGTGGAAGTCGGATGCTTAACTGACTGAGCCCCCCAGGCGCCCCTGACATCTGCATCCTTTCAAGGCTGCCTAGGTGATTGTAACGGCCAGGGTTGAGAATCACTGATGGCCCCGGTGTGGCACTGACATTTCAGACAATAATCATGGAAGCCCACATTCCAGATGAGTTCAAGTACATCCTCCCTTTCTTTGCCATACATTAATTCATCCTTGCTGACTATGCTGATTAATTTTACGTGCCAACTTCGCTGAGCCACCGTGCCAAGATATGTAGTCAACCATTGTCCTGGATGTTTCTAGGAAGGGGTTTTCTGAAGGAGATTAACATCTCAATCAGAGTAGACCTTGCATAAAGCTGATTGCCCTCCATAATGCTGGGGACCATCTAATCAATTGAAGGCTTTCAGAGGGAAAAGACTGACCTCCTTTGAGCACGAAGGAACTCTGCAGCAGACAGTCTTTGGACTTGGACTTCAACTCTTCTCTGGGTCTGCAGCGTGCTGGGCTGCCCTGCAGATTTTAGACATGTACCTCCATCAATCATATGAGCCAATTCCTTAAAATAATCTCTCTCTCTCTCTCTCTCTCTCTCTCTCTCTCTCTGGTTGACCTCTTGTTGAACACAATCATAAATAAAGCACCCCACTTTTGTTTTCTACAACTAGAGAATGGGTGATGGCAGAGGCATGGGGAGAGTGATACGGATCACCGGATCCAGTTGAAATGGTGGCATAAAGACAGAAATAACCCTGGGAGACATCTGGCAAATGTCTGGAGACTTTTTTGTTGTCTCAAGGGGGTGGAGGATGAGGGACTGGGCCTGGGGCTAGGGGTGTAAGAGCGATAGGAGGCATCAAGTGGGCAGAGGGGCCGGGGATGCTACTAAACATCCTGAAATGCATGGAATTATCGTTAAAATGTAACAGTGCCATTGTTTGCGAAACCGGACTGGAGTGGGGCAATAGTGAGTCATTAAGGAAATTAACATCTCACCCCTTGAAAGGAGGAGGATTGTGGTCAGATCGGGAAGGAGCTCTGAAGAGGCAACAGGAATCCAGTCAGCAGATCGGACAAACAGCCTGGGGGCAGCTAGTGCTGAAAAAGCCACGGGACTTCACGGAAACTCTTGAGAGACCAGCCCTACCGGGGAGGTAGGACTGGCTGTCCAGCCAGCAGGAATCTCAAGGCCATCATGTGGCTCCAATTAGTTCCTAAGTGGCCGTGAGCTCAGAAGCTCTCCCCAAGGTCTGAGCCCAAGACCGGAGGTGGTGAGTAGCCGTCTTGTGTTTTGTGGCTGCAGCTCATGTTGTTGTTTTAAATATCGGGGGGGCGGGGGCCCAGTGGGCAGAGCGGGGGGCCAGAGTTCTGGGCTTCTCTCCCTACGGTGCGGACTGAAGTGTGCACACGGCGTCCCATCCTGAATTCTCAGGAACTGGGGTACGTGGCGGGGGGGAGCGGCTGGGCGTCATGTCCTGAACACAAGTCTGCATGTAGACAGCCCTCAAGGAGGTTTCTTAAAGTGTTCACGAAGATGTGGAAAAGGGTGAATTGGTGATAAATTAATGACACTTCAGTTCTGTCACCTGTAAAAGGAGGAAAGTAAGACGGCGAAGGTGGTCGCGTGAGGCCAGTGGGGTGATACAGTAGCATGACTGAGAAAGTCAAGCGTCCTTTAGAAAACCCCCGGGTGTGGGGCACCCGGGTGGCTCGGTTGGTTCAGCGTCAGGCTCTTGATTTCAGGTCAGGTCATGATCTCACAGTTGGTGGGTTTGAGCCCCTCGTCGGGCTCCGCACCTAACAGCGTAGAACCTGGGTGGGATTCTCTCTCCCTCTGTCTCCGTTCCAACCCCCACTTGTGCTCTCGCTCTCTCTCAAAATAAATAAATAAAAATAAATAGCACCCCCCCACACACACACAGATGCTACTCTCCTATGGGTTTTACACCCCAGAGCATGTTTCCAGGACAGCATTAAAAACAAACAAACAAAAAGTCACAGCAAAGCAGGGCCACACCGAGATGGAAGGCAACCAGCACACGTGACCGAGGGCAGCAGAAGCAGGTGGGACACACACGTCGGTGGTCGGCCACAGGGCACTTTAAGGGAAGGGGTCAGTGAACCGGGAGAAGAGGTCCTTGGGTCAGGAGTGCATGTGCACCCTCTTCAAACGTGTGAGTGTCTGTCCCGGGGAGCAGAGGTAGCCTTGATCCTCGCTGCCCTTAGATGCCAAACACAAAGCCCAGCGAGGGACAGACAGAGGCAGATTTCAGCGCACCTAGATATTCTGGGAGGGAATTGGGGTGAGCCGCGGGGTCCGTGGAAAGAGCACGCAGCCTTGACTCTGTTTTCTTTGGCAGGGTGGTGGGGACAAGTTATTTCAACTCTTTGAGACTCCATTTCAATATCCCTTAAACAGGAGCATTGTAATTCTTCCATAATACTAGCAATCATGGCAAAAAACATTCGTACTGTATCTTCTCTGTGCCCCGGGCCCTGTTCTCACCTCTTTCCGTGGAGTAACACACTTGCGACTCACGGCAGCTTGCGATACAGGTGCCACTATCATTGCTGTAGTCAACAGAGAGGAGGCTCAGAGAAGGGGAGTGGCCAGGGTCACAAGGCAAGTACGGGGTACAGTCGTCGTACAGGGTACGATCTCTGTAGGACAGGGGGTCTCTGCAGGACACAGCATGGAATGTGGCTCTCCTTGATCTCCCTCCACCTATCAGATGTCAACCAAACCACAGCGTGTATGATTATCAGCGTGCCGTGATGACACCGTGCTGTGCAGTTTCTGGATCAGAATTGAACAACCTCAGCAGTCTGAAGGTGCGGACAGAAGCCAGCGAGTTGGTGTAAAACGGAGATCGGCGGCAACGCCATTCTGCACTTACTCAGATTCAGTCACCCAGACTCTCACTGCACTGCTCGTACCGCTTCTGGAATGTTCCGGTCCATGCTGGGGGCTCCTCTGTTGAGAGGCATCCCAACAAGCTGATATCTACTTGGTGAACTGACGAGTGAGATCACGTCAAAACAGAGGATGTCTGTTGCATGGGAGGTCACCAGGGACAAATTCATAGATGACAGATTGCAACAGAGTATTTGTAATATCTGAAACTGACATGACCACGGGCACCTTTGGGGAGCAAACCCGTCTACACAGTCGAAAATCCATGTATGATTTTTGACTCCCTCCCCCCAGTTTAACTACTGATAGGCTACTGTTGACGGGAAGACCGATGGATTCATAAATAGCCCATATTTTACATGTTATATGTGTTTTATGCTATATTCTTACAACAAAGTAAGCTAGAGAAATGTTACTAAGAAATTCACAAGGAAGAGAAAATACCCAGCGCCATAGAAGTCCACTCGCACAGTTCAAACCTGTGTTGTTTAAGGGCCAGCTGTATACCCACAATGCACAAGGGACTTCTCTGGAAATTACCAAGAAAGACAGGAACGACTATGGAAATGGACTATGGAAACGACTATGGAAACGGAACGACTATGGCAAAGGATCTTGATGGGCAAATCACAGACGTGGAAAACAGGAAGCCTGACCAATGCTTTGAGAAGATGCCGCTGGGGCTAATTCCCAGAGGCTTGCCTGTGAAATCAGCGCACCCGTTAGGTCGTGCTGGGAGCACGGGGTTGACTCACTGCTGAGTCGAGGCCCTCGTGCGTGAGGCACAGGAAGGTCTAGCCGCTTGGGGCGATGCTTTCTCAGTGGGCGATGCTCAGTGTCGGTGGGGATGTGGGCTTGGGCACCCACCGCCCTGGAGGTGGGGAGGTGGCCGGGGCAAACTTTCTCTGGTTAAATGTACTGGGTGGCTCAGTCGGTTAAGCATCCAACTTCAGCTCAGCTCATGATCTCAAGGTTTGTGGGTTCGAGCCCCGCATCGGGCTCTGTGCTGTCAGCTCAGAGCCTGGAGCCTGCTTCAGATTCTGTGTCTCCCTCTCTCTCTTATTTATTTATTGAGAAAGGGAGATAATGCGAGCAGGGAGGGGCAGAGAGAGATTGAGAGAGAGAGAATCCCAGGCAGGCTCCACACTGTCAGTGCAGAGACCAACGCAGGGCTCGATCTCACAAACCATGAGATTATGACCTAAGCTGACACCAAGAGCCGGACGCTTAACCGACTGAGCCACCCAGGCGCCCCTGACTTTCTAGCATTCCGACTTCAGTTAAGATTCTTACCCAACCGTCCATGACGTTTTGCGGAATACAAATTCCTAGAAGAAAAATAACCAGTGGCATATATTAAGCCCAGTTGCCAAGCACGACACTAAGGATGTTACGTCTGTGTCAGGTAACCCTACAGCAACCCCACGAAGCAGGTAGGATGTTTATCATCTCCGCTTTACCGATGAAGGAACAGAAACCAGAGAGGTTGGGTAACTTTCCCAAGGTCACACAGCTGGACTATAAACCCAGGCTGAGTCCAGGCTCCACACTTCCGGGAAGCTGGACTTAGTCTGGGAGGCCGTGCAGAACCCCTAGCCTGGCGTGGCCCCTGCTCTTCTGGCTAACTTCATTCTGGATGGATCAGTGAACCACCCTGGGCCTTGGCTTCCTTGGTGTCTGCGGTGGATTGAGACGGCGTTCCCTCCCGCGGTTGTTATGAGGTATAACATCTGCAAGGTAGTCAACAGATGACTGTCATCAACGTGTCGTTGTTGTTGCACGGCTCACGTGTTCCCTCGAGGGGTCAGGGCCCAAGGTCCTGGAATGAGTGTGGGATGCTGTGTTCCACGCGTGGGTCCATTGGGGTGGCTAGAGGATCCCCAAGGAACGAATGTTGGAGGGAGGGTGGTGGCTGCATTTAAGAGGGAAGAAAAGGCTGGGGCGCCTGGGTGGGTCAGTCAGTGAAGCATCCGACTTCGGCTCAGGTCACGATCTCACGGTTCGTGGGTTCGAGCCGCGCGTCGGGCTCTGGGCTGACAGCTCGGAGCCTGGAGCCTGCCTCGGATTCCGTGTCTCCCCCTCTCTCTGACCCTCCCCTGCTTGTGCTCTGTTTCTCTCTCAAATAAATAAGCGTTAAAAAAACAAAACAAAACTAAGAGGGAAGAAGAGGAGGGCTGAGACTCTGGGCCCTGGCAAGGAGACCGGGTGAGTTCAGCTGATTGACGTGGGCCCAGAAAGTCCAGTCAGGGCCCTCGCCGGGAAAGACATGTGAGGCTCTGGATGCTTGAACAGGGGAGGGAAAGACATCGGGGAGAGGCAGCCCCCAGGCTTTGGCACCGACAGATCTGACTTAGAGTCTCACTTCATCTCAGCCCGCGTCTGACCTCGACACCGTCCTCAGGCTTTCCTTGCTCAGACACGGGCTCTGGATGGTGCCCTTGCAGAGTGCTTGGGGACTGGGTGACATGAGCTCAGGCATACAGGGTGCCTGGCAGGTGGCCGTCACCACCCCGCCTTCCCTGCACGTCGAGGGCCAGGGACGTAGGGGCCTGAGCGCAGCTGGCCTTGGCCCCGGGCTTCCCTCATGACCGCAGACAAAGGGTCCAATTCGCCTTCTTGGGTTTCCTGCTTTCTTCTTTACAAAAACAGGAAGGAACACTGCTGCTGTCCCTTATCAAATCCCCCACATGGGTTTCAGTCAATGCAGCCATTTCTTACAAGAAAGATGTAGTTTGTTTTTGTTTTTGTTTTTTTAATCTTGACTCTTAGAAGATCAAAATGGCTTTTTTTTTTTTTTTTATATATTTTTTTTTTTTTTCAACGTTTATTTATTTTTGGGACAGAGAGAGACAGAGCATGAACGGGGGAGGGGCAGAGAGAGAGGGAGACACAGAATCGGAAACAGGCTCCAGGCTCTGAGCCATCAGCCCAGAGCCTGACGCGGGGCTCGAACTCACGGACCGCGAGATCGTGACCTGGCTGAAGTCGGACGCTTAACCGACTGCGCCACCCAGGCGCCCCCAAAATGGCTTTTTTAATGAAATGTTAAAAGTCAGAACTGGGAGAAAATAGCACCAGACAAAAGAGGGGAAGCCTCTAAAATTTGATTTCTTTCCCTGTGTTCCTGTCTTGCTCTCCCACCAAAACCCAGCGGAAGAACGGACCCACGTTATGACTGACCTTGCAAATGGAGTCCCAGCTCTCGGGAGCCCTTGCAGCCTCCTGGGTCTCTCGGGAGCCCTTGCAGCCTGGCCCCAGGAAGTAGCTCGTCTTTGATTTTTATGCACGTGCATTTAAATACGGGGAGACAGGAGAAGGAAAAGAGGTAATCATGAAGCATTGTGGGAGGTAAGCATT